TTTCTCTCTGTCTCTCCCTCTCACTGTCTGTAACTCTACCTCTCAAATAAAGAAAATATATAAAAAAAAATTAGAGATGGGGCCCAGGAATAAATATCCAAACACTGAAACTGATTGTGGATCCAACAACAGGATGTTTTTCATAAATCTCAAACATCAGTGCAGTTTCTTGAGGAACAAGCTTAAGGAGAACTGATGGCTTGGTCTTAACATGGGTGAAACATAACAGCACCTTCTGCAAGGTGAGGAGCTGTACACTCTTTTGCTAGAATCTGAAAGAAGCAAAGGATTGTGTGAAGAGATTCTATGTTTCATTAACCATAATGAGGCTCATTCAGTTTATGATTAGTAAGGTTTATTGTGCCCTTAGTCACCTGCATTCATTATACCCTGTTAGTCTATAGGTCAAAGGTGATGAAGTAATGCCTATTTCAGACAGGCCACCCCAAAGCTCCAACTCCACTGCTCTTTAGATCTTTGTTGCTCAGGGAAGGTCCCCACATCTGTCCAGTGGTTGACATTACCTAATTTACAGGGACTTTCCAAAAACTGATCCAAATTACATACCACTGAGCTTTTGATAATTTCTGAGAAAGAAAAATGAGTAAGACATAGTCATCTAGCAGTTCCCAAGGAGCTAGCAGTCCAGTGGAGGAAACAAACAGTGTTGGATATAGTTAAGTTCCTATAGGAGGAAGCAATAAAATCTGTTGATTTTGAATTGTTATGGACATAAAAACATTTTAATTGGGCTCGAGAGAGGAAATACCTAGAAGTGGAATGGAAAGAGGCATCGGCAGCAAGGAAAACAGCCAAAAAAGGTAAGGAAGTGTGAAAGTGCATGGCGAACTGAGGAACAAGGCAATCTTGTGGGTCTAAAATGTAGTGTGGAGAGAGGGGAAAGGTTTGAAAGGCTGACAGGGCAGGAGGTGGCAATATTTTAAAAAGATTTGGGGGGGCCAGCGCTGTGGCGTGGCAGGTAAAGTCACTGCCTGCAGTGCTAGCATTCCATATGGGCACTGATTCAAGCACCAGCTGCTCCACTTCCGATCCAGCTCTCTGCTATGGCCCGGCAAAGCCTAAGCCCTTGGGCCTCTGCACTCACATGGGAGACCCATGGGTGTTAAATGAAGATTGCCTATTTACAGCCAGTCTCATGTGCAAAATCTTCAATGGCAGGTAGTTGAAGACTCCTATTCTTTGTTTGTTTAAAGATTTCTATTTATCTGAGAGGTAGAGTTACAGTCAATGAGAGGGAGAGATGGAGAGATAGGTCTTCCATTTGCTGGTTCAATCCCCAAATGGCCGCTATGGCAGGCGCTGTGCCGATCCGAAGCCAGGATCCAGGAGCTTCTTCCTGGTCTCCCATGTGGGTGCAGGGGCCCAAGCACTTGGGCCATCCTCCACTGCCTTCCTGGGCCACAGCAGAGAGCTGGACTGGAAGAGGAGCAATCAGGACTAGAACCCGACGTCCATATGGGATGCCAGCACCGCAGGCGGAGGATTAACCAAGTGAGCCACAGCACCGGCCCCCAGAGAAAATGTTTCAAATAATGCTCTGCACAAGTAGATACCAAGTACTGAGGTAACACTAATATGAAAACTTTATTGCTGGTTTTATTTTGTCTAAGACTAATTATGCCTTATAGAAAAAGTTTTCAAGGTCATTTTTAAAAAGTTGGATTTTCAGATAAATCTAGGAAATATTCTAGTCTATATCCTATGTCATGGAGAGTCAGAGCTCACATTAATTTAGCAAAGTTTTTGACAATCCTTCATTGAAGAATCATGAATACCTTTAACTGATTTTTAAAATAATTATGTGATATCATGACCTCTCCCAGTATTTCACAGATTAGCTTCCCAGAACATTTGGAAGAACTCTGCTCCATACCAACAATACCTATTATAGTTGAATAACGTACACAAGAAGCTGAACCTACCATATTTATGATGGAGTCATTGACATGGAGAAAGCTGGAAGTTGTTTTAGAATTATATAAGTGAAAAGTGTAATCAGGAAATATTTTCAAATCCCATTCGGAAAAACAAAACATCTTTTAAATAACCTACACTAATGTTGGGCTAGTTCTGGCCTCACGGCACTTTGTCTGCTCTATTATAATTGACAGGCTAACTTAAGGGTAGGTAATGTTCAGCCCATGGGGAGCATAAGGCCCACGAAATCATTTGCTTGGGCCCTGCCAAGGCAACTACAAGTAGGACTCAAAATTCAATAAATTGACAGCAGGCTAATTTTTAAGTTGATAATTTTGTTTGTCCTGTAAATGATGTTGTAAATATCCAAATGGCCTTTGGCAGAAAAAAGATTCCCCACTAATCTTTGTTCTCTCTTCTTTGCTTCCTTCTGGATGATGTTTCACACAGTCATAAAATCATATTCATAAAACACATGCTAAATGATGTTTAAAACTTTCTGTAAAAGCTTTCAGAAGATTCCTGTCATGTATAGGATAAAATTCAAACTCCTCACTGCAGCATTTGCAGCTCTCTCCATGTTGGTTCCAGGGTAAAATATGGTGAAACTTCACTCATCTAAATTAGGTTAAAAATGTAGCCTGGATAAACATTTAGGAAGAAAAACTCTCCATTTTATTCCATATACTAAAATAGTAATGAATCAATCAAGTATAATAAATATAATAATATCTTGAATAATAAAATCTTAGAAAATAGCAGAAGTAAATTTATTTATAATCTTGGAGAAGCAAAGAACTTTTGTAGCAGGACGTAAAACCCAGAAATCCTAAAAGAAAACTTGAATAAATTTTTCCACATAATATTTGAAAACGTATGCTTTGGTATGCTATTAAAAAGTCTAATGACAAACAACACTGTAGAAAAAGCTATATCACATATCTTAGCCAAGTATTTAATTTCTTTTTTTTAAAATGACTTGGCCAGCCCGGCTCAACAGGCTAATCCTCCGCCAAGCAGCGCCGGCACACCGGGTTCTAATCCCGGTCAGGGCGCCGGATTCTGTCCCGGTTGCCCCTCTTCCAGGCCAGCTCTCTGCTGTGGCTTGGGAAGGCAGTGGAGGATGGCCCAAGTGCTTAGGCCCTGCACCCGCATGGGAGACCAGGAGAAGCACCTCGCTCCTGCCTTCGGATCAACGCAGTGCGCCGGCCGCAGCGCGCCGGCCGCGGCGGCCATTGGAGGGTGAACCAATGGCAAAAGGAAGACCTTTCTCTCTGTCTCGCGCTCTCTCTCTCCTCACTGTCCACTTTGCCTGTCCAAAAAAAAAAAAAAAGACTTAAAATTCTTTAAACTTTCTGAAGAAAGGCAATTAAAATGGTCTATGACTTTATATCCTCTATATTGTATAAAAAGCACTACATAGAGCCCATGTCATAAAATTTTTATTAAAAAATTAATGATTAACCAAATCTAAATCCTTAAAAATGCTACCACAAAAATAACCTGAAAGCTCTGTTTAGAATTTGGGGATATGCTGCCATACATTCTAATCCATTCAATGAGCTCTATTTGCGTTACCATATTCATCACATGCTGTCACCCAATGTTGCTTAATCTGTGTGTATGCATATAAATAGAATTGTAATGAAACTGCATTAACTACTACCAAGTATTTCCTGCGGGAAACCGTAGAATATCAGACAGTCCTTCAGATTTGTAACTTAGGTAAGTATCATAATCAGTGTGCAATAATTTTTGCTGCATCTCATTGCGGAAAAATAGCAAAAAGAAACCAGTGATATTGATATTGTCATGTACTAAAACATTTCTGATATAAAAATAGGGGAGTAAGCAATAAGTATTAGTCTGACAACTGGTAAAAACAGTGTTTGTGTTTATCAAGGTAAAATAAGATAAAATTTACCTTCTAATAAATCCTTTAATCCAAGAACTCCATGGTTCTCTCTTATCCTGCTAGAAGAGCTGATTGAGAAGATGTTTTAAGAGATTTAAATTATAACAACACCTGGAACAATTTTTAATATAGCAAAACAAAAGACCAATGCTTTTTTAAAAAAAAAGTAATAATTACTGATAGAATTTCAAGCAATACCAGAGAAGATTTAAGACTGGAGGGGAGGAGTGGATATTTAGCTTAGTGGTTAAGATGGACTTAAGCCCATTTCAGAATGCCTAGGTTCAGTGCTCAGCTCCAGCTCTTGACCCTGCCTTCTTGCTTGTGTGGACCCTGAGAGCAGCAGTGATGATTCTAATGGTTGGATTCCTGCAACACATGTAGGAGACCTGGGCTGGGTTCTCAGTTCCCAGTTTTTGCCTGGCCTACCTCTGGCCATTGCAGGAATGTAGGTGTTCCTTTGTCTTATTGTATATGCTTGTCTAATTTCCCCTAAAGTGCAATACCAATATTTATTTGTTTTATACTGTAGTATAACAAAACAATCTCAGGATTCCTGTACCAATAGTACCATTAACAATAAATTCAGGGGCCAGTGCTATGGTGTAGTGGGTAAAGCCGACACCTACAATGCCAGCATCCTGTATGGGCATCAGTTCGAGCCCTGGCTTCTCTACTTCTGATCCAGCTCTCTGCTATGACCTGGGAGAGCAGCAGAAGATGGTCCAAGTCCTTGAGCCCCTGCACCCACATGGGAGATCCAGAAGCAGCTCCCGACTTCTGCCTTAGGATAGGTATAGCTCTGGCCATTGCTGCCATCTGGGGAGTGAACCAGTGGATGGAAGACCTCTCTGTCTCTCTCTCTACCTCTGCCTCTCTGTAACTCTGTCTTTTAAATAATTAAATAAATAAATAAATCTTTAAGAAAATAAATTTACTTAGTAAAGTTTAAGTTTTTTTTTGCGGTTCTTCTTGTCCTATAACTATATGCTAGTATGAATGTAGCCAGAATACTATGCTCAAATTTTACCAAAATAATTATTTTCTTTATTGGGTTATGTTATCAATTTCATACTGAGCTAGCCACAGGTTTTATTCTGTTTTCAAATTGGAACAATTGAACTAATATTATATTTTAATCCTGCAGAAACCTAAAAGATGACTAAAACGAAGTATGCAACCATTGAAAATTCCCGAGCAAGGCCAAATGGCACATCAGGCAATGGCTTGGTAAAACCTGCCAAGCTGAGAAGTAAGGACTTAAGCATTCCTGAGTGTTTTACATGTTTTTAAAATTTGTTATCAAATCTTTTTCTAATATTCATAATGCTACCTTACCCAAACTTATATGTAGGAGCTGAAATAAAAAGGGATGGCCCAAAGGGCACAATATGTCAGCACTTACCAGTTTTGAACAGACTATATACAATGCAACTTTTACTTATTTGATATATCATGGGACAGAAATAGCTTAGATAACGTGACCTTTAAATAGTGATACATTTGAATGTAACTTTTTATATCAGTCCCTTTGCTCTATATATCTCCTGCCACCAAATCCCCAACACTTTTTCTCTGGTTAACTAACAAAATTCTACACTGACTTATTTTCATTTAACAAACATTTATTAAGGCGGAGGATTAGCCTATTGAGCCACGGCGCCAGCCATGCCAGTGGTCTTTCTCTCTCACTGTCCACTCTGCCTATCAAAAAAAAAAAAAAAAAAAAGACCACTGGCATATCAAGTACATGGTCTTGCGACTTGATAAAGGCAATAATAACAAATGAATATATCTGAATAATCCAGGCTCCAAATAAAGCAGAACTAACCAAATAATGCTTAAGTCTGTTCAGTTGCAAACCCAAAGAGTTTATAATAGGATGAATGGTAAACAACATCAAATAGTAGCTATAGCTCTGAGGTGAAAGGGCTATATACATCATTGACTCTTCAACCTATCCTAGGATGGAATGATATAAATTTATACTTATATTTTTCATATAGGAAAAGTAAAACAAAAGTAATAGAGCCCTAGTGGACTGAAGACAATATGGAGGATGAGGAATGACACATTCTGAGTCTCTGGCTCACCAACACTGTTGCTTGGTACCCAGAGAAAACACCATGGTTTCCTTGTTAACTGTGGTTCTTTAATTTCCAGGAAATAATAGTTATGTTAGTTCTTTGAAAATGCTCTGGCAGAAACACCGATTCAATGGAAGTGACTGCACATCCCCAAACTCTTTCTCAAAAAATAATGCATTTTCTTTGTGTCTCAGGAAATGTGAGCTCTCCATAGGTACTGGAATGAAAGTAAGCCGGAGTTTATGCCAGATTTTCTGGTATTCATGCAAAAGTTAACAAGCAATCTCTCCTTTAGGGTTCAGTGACCCTAATGGGTTACCTATACCATTAGAAGACAGTGATGAAGATAATATCCAAATCATTTATATGGTTTTCGAAGAATATTGAGTCAGTTTAATACTACTTCTCAAAATTCAAAGTACTAGAAATATTATATCTTATTTTTCTAAATAAATTTCTCTCTGAGCCCTCAATCAACAAGGCAAGAAAGTACACTTAATCCCTTCTCCTCCCTTAGGGTACATCATCTTTGGCTCACAAAGCCTCAAATCTAAATATCCAAGTACTACAGGCATAAATATGTCAGTTACACATTAGTTCTCGTCATCCTGAAGGCATTTCACCTCTGGTTCCACAAGGGTACAGGACTTCATGATAGGCAGGAAAGCTCCCTCCAAACTCATTCCCTTCCCAGTTTCCAGCAAGCTCCTCTGTAGTGGTCAGATTCTTTTCTTCTCCTCTCCTCTCGCCCACATCCATAAACAAAGTTCTCTTCCCCAAACAACCCATCTTCTTTCATTCATGGATCTAGTCAGGAGTTACAATATGGAAGCCTTGGGATAGATTCATTTAGAAGTACTTTTTTTTTTTTTGACTGAACAGTACTATTGCTATTTTTGTAGCTGAAGCAAATTTCTAAAATTAAGAAATTTTAAATAAAAAATCTACATATATGGTTTCTGTCAAAAAATGTAAAGATCATTGAAATGCTAGGCCCATATCCCTGCATGGTAACAGCTGATCAAAACTAAGTAGCAGTCAGCTTCTATAGCTTGAATTCATCCATGGAAGATACATGGTTATAGTGCAGTGGTTTTGACTATCCAGTGGACAGTAGGGAACCACTAAAAATGTTTAACTGGGTAATGATGAGATATTTTTACCTTGTACAGAGATTGCATTGGTGATGGTGTGAAGACAGAGGGGGCAAAAGAAGAAAATGGTTAGAGGTCTACTTCATTTATTGAGGGGAACAGTGATGAAGGCCTGACCTAAGACAACAGAAAGGAGAGGAAAGAGTAGACCTCAGATACATTTGAAAGGTGAAGTCAGTGGGAATAAACTGAATAAACTGAGGGATGGAAATAGAGGGGAAAATTGAAAAATGCACATTTGCTATTAGGAGTATATTTTGGTTTGCAGTAGGTCATCCAGGTAGAGATGTCCAGTATTTGGGAGGATATATATAGATATGGAAAGAAATGCTTTAAAATAGCTGATTTTTTTTTTAAGATTCACCTATTTGTTTGAAAGGCAGCTACAGAGAGATCTTCCAGCCACTAGTTAACTGCCAAAATGACTGCAACCACTGGACCTAGGCTGATCCAAAACCAGGAGCCAGGAGATTATTCCAGGTCTCCCACATGGGTACAGGGGTCCAAGTACTTGGGCCACCTTCTGCTGCTTTCCCAGGCACATTAACAGAGAGCTAGATTGGAAGTGGAGCATCTGCGTCTTATACCAGCACCCATACGGGATGCCAGCACCACAGGCAGTGGCTTTACCTGCTATACCACAGCACCAGCCCAAGAAAGCTGATTCTAAACACCCTATGGAGCAAGGGTAACAGGCAGAAAGCTCAAAGAAAAAGATCAAAGATTGACTTAGAATTTGGGGAGTTGTGAGCCTCTAAAAATATAGTTGAAGTTATGAGAAAGCAAGATTTCCTAAAAAGGGAGTCTAGTGGGAGAGGAGAAGTCAAAGGACAAAACCTTGAGCAACATTAACCTTTTAGGAACAGAGGAGAAGTAAGAGACTGAGACGGATTAATCAGAGAGAAACAAAAACAGCCTACGGGGACTGGTTGCTACCCTGAAGTCAGCCACCACACACACATCAAGGGCAGTCAGCAGTGAGAAGGAATCTTGGTGAATTAGGGATCTGAAGAGGAAATGAAGGTGCAGTGATTCACATCCGTAGTTTCTGTCCGGCATATCAGAACGATTTCCAGGCCCCGCCCCTTTTACTCACCAGAAATGCCTGAGCAAATATACGCTGCGGTCACGGTCAGAGTGGCTGTGATAACCTCCTTCAAAGCCATCCAGAGCCTCTGCGCTCAACAGATAGCGGGCAAGAAACAGGAAGTAATTAGCGGCCTTCAGATAAACTTGAGCTGGCTCTCTGAACCCAGGGGAGTGCTCTCCCCATCTCCATGACAGCTTTGTTTTTTCCATTCCAAAACACAAATTTCAGCGGTGAGACATCAAAGTATACTTTTTTCCAGTATAGTCTTTTCAATACTTTGTATGTAGTCATCCTCCCCATGAAATATTTATATGCAGTGTTTTTCCCACTAGATTTTAGTCCCTACTCCTATTATCTGTAACTGCCTTCTTAATTCCTTAACCCCTTAAAATCATAGTTCTAGATGGTACAGCAATGTTAGGGAGTTCAAAGCTGGATGTGAATACAACTAAGTGGTCTTCCTCTGTTAAGATAGTTAAAGATACTCACAGTCAGCTGCTCTTCTGAACTGAAGCAAGAAATGAATAATTCAGGGATTGGCGCTGTGTCGAAGTAGGTTAAACCTCCTGCCTGTGGCGCTGGCATCCCATGTGGGCGCTGGTTTTAGTCCTACTGCTCCTCTTCAGATCCAGCTCTCTGCTATGGTCTGGGAAAGCAGTAGAAGATGGCCCAAGTGTTTGGGCCCCTGCACCCATGTGGGAGACTGGGTGCAGCTCCTGGCTTCGAGTCAGCTCAGTTCCAGCCACTACAACATTTTGGGGAGTGAACCAGCAGACGGAAGACCTTTCTTTCTGTATCTCCTTCTCTCTGTTCCTAACTTTACCTCTCAAATAAATAAAATATTTTTTAAGAAAATAAATGGGCCGGCGCCGCGGCTCACTAGGCTAATCCTCCGCCTAGCGGCGCCGGCACACCGGGTTCTAGTCCCGGTCGGGGCGCCGGATTCTGTCCCGGTTGCCCCTCTTCCAGGCCAGCCCTCTGCTGTGGCCAGGGAGTGCAGTGGAGGATGGCCCAGGTGCTTGGGCCCTGCACCCCATGGGAGACCAGGAAAAGCACCTGGCTCCTGGCTCCTGCCATCGGATCAGCGCGGTGCGCCGGCCGCAGCGCGCTGACCGCGGCAGCCATTGGAGGGTGAACCAACGGCAAAGGAAGACCTTTCTCTCTGTCTCTCTCTCTCTCACTGTCCACTCTGCCTGTCAAAAAAATAAAAAAAAAAAAAAAAAAGAAAATAAATGGATAATTCAAAATAGCTGATAATAGTTCATTCCACTTGACTTTAAAACATATTATCAGGAAGGTAAATCTTCTGGAGGAGCTTAAAAGTCATACAATCGATCTCAAAATCAAAAGTAATTCTTTTCTTTTCTTACTGTGAATGTTTAAAATTTGACTATATTATATAAATTTTTTGGTAATTCATTTACTATAATGTTGAAAATAGATCCTATGACTCATGTGTTAAGATTTTCGGAATTACTAAGTATCAAATTTAGTTTACTATTTGAGACTTAAATTTTTCTGGCTAAATGAAATAAGAATTAGTGAATTAATAACTTCTTACAAATAATAGTCATTTTAGAAAATGAATATTATGTTTTCATTTAATTTCCATTAACTTTCAAAAAATATTTTAAAAGCAAAGTGATAGAGAGAGAGGGAGAGACAAAAAAAAAGAAAGCGATCTTCTATCTGCTAGTTCACTCCTCAAATACCCACAAGGGCCAGGGCTGGGGCAGGCTGAAGTCAGAAGACCACAATTCCATCCAGGTCTCCCACATGGGTGGCACGGACCCAAGTACTTGGGCCATCATTTGCTACCTTCTCAGGTGCATTTGTAGGAATCTGGATCAGAAGTGGAGTAGCCAGGGACGTAGCCAGGGACGGGAAATAGCATTCCCATATAGGATGTGAGCATCTCAATTGGTGGCTTAACTTCCTGTGCCACAACATCTGTCCCTATTTATTTATCTTTATTTATTTGAAAGGCAGAGAAAGAGAGAGATCTTCCATCTGCTGGGTTACTACCAAAAAATCCCATAACTGCTAGGGCTGCGCCATGCCAAAGCCAGGAGCCTGTAACTCCACAGGTCTCCAATGGGCATCAGGGACTCAAATACTTCAGCCATTATCTGCAGCCTCCCAGGATGCATATTAACAGGTAGCTGGAATGGAAGCAGAGCAGCCAGGACTTGAACCATGCTCTTGATATGGGACATGGGTATCCTTAACCCGCTGTCCCTGATTGGCTTTGTTACTTCATATAATTTAACTTGAATTTGCATTTTATCAGTTCCTCAAATCACAATATAGCATTTTCTAAGATGGAAACAGAATAAAAAGAACACCTTGAGCAAATGTCATGACCACAAAGAATCTCAAATGATCATCTATAAAATGGGGATAATAATGCCTACTATTAGCCTAGTGTTTGGCTCACCTTGGATACTTAGTATATGGTTGTTATTTTAATGTCAATAAGCTTAATAGACTATCCCTCCAAAGTGTACCCTACAAAAGTAGGAAAGGTATCAGATTTCATGTAACTATAATAGTTCCTCCTCAAAGATTGATACATGTTGGATGTAGGCACATCATCACTCATGTGGAATTCTGAAAACCAACATTTTTTTTCTAGAGACCCAAAATTTTTTAGAACTCATTTGACATCAAAACATGGCCTAGGCCGGCGCCACGGCTCACTGGGCTGGTCCTCTGCCTTGCGGCGCCGGCACACTGGGTTCTAGTCCCGGTCAGGGCACCGGATTCTGTCCCGGTTGCCCCTCTCCCAGGCCAGCTCTCTGCTGTGGCCAGAGAGTGCAGTGGAGGATGGCCCAAGTGCTTGGGCCCTGCGCCCCATGGGAGACCAGGAAAGGTACCTGGCTCCTGCCATCGGATCAGCGTGGTGTGCCGGCCGCAGCGCGCTGGCTGCGGCAGCCATTGGAGGGTGAACCAATGGCAGAGAAAGACCTTTCTCTCTCTCTCTCTCTCTCTCTCTCACTGTCCACTCTGCCTGTCAAAAAAAAAAAAAAAAAAATGGCCTGAACTCATTTGTCAGTTAAATCCTGACCTGAACTAAAATGAAGTCTATTCTGCTTTGTGTGAGTTTTCCTATGTTTCACTATAAAAGCAATTAATTTTTAATCATTTATTGTTATTTTAGTTGTACCTAGTTATGGAGTGCTACACTCAGGGTTTGTAAAAAGATGGATGGACAGAAGGAAGCAGTATCACATTTTTCTCAATTGTTTATAGGGTCCCAACAGAAGGCTGCAGAAGAAGTCTGCCAAATATACAATATGAAGCTACGCTCTGGCCTTACCATAGAAAAGAAGGCCTGTTACTTTAGGAGAGGAATCACCAAAAAGCCAGGTAAGGGTAAAGGTACATTTCCTAGCAATAGTGATGGGCATCTATTTACCTTCAATTACCACAAATAAATATGTAATTTTCCCCCTCACCTGAATTTTCTTTCTGTAAAGGAATAAGGATGATGAATTGTTATTTGGCCATTTTATAAAGGGCATATAAAGAATTTTTACTAGCATGTGAGAATTGGTTATATTATGATGTTAAATGAAAAAAAGGATAAAAATTATATATAGATAAGTTTAAAATATTTTAAATTGGTTTTAAAAATTCAATGTAAATTAAAATGTTAACAGGGGTTGTGTTTTGAGTGTTGAGACTATAAACGCTTAGTTTTCTTCTTCCTGGTCTGCTCTGCTGAGTTGTATTGTAGAGGCGTTACTGATCCCATCAGACCATGAGTGGTTAAAACCCTGTAGTCAGTAGCATTGTCAGCAAGCAGTCTTGGCAGAGACACATCAAAAGGACGTGGGTGCAGAGTGGGAACTGACAGTTCACTTCTACCCAACCCCTATTCTGCAGATGGAAAATTCCAAGTCGAAGCTTTGCGGGGACCGTCCTTCACTGAAGCAGGCAGGACTGAAGAATACTTGGAACATACGGGAACACAGGCTGCTCTAAGTAGTTTCCTAGGTGTGACTGGTCACAAGGGTGGTGTGGAGGTTTAGAGGGAGGTAAGACGCAGACTCCTGGTAGCCCCAAGTCTGTGTCTTCATATGTGTCAGAAATTTCTACCCACTGTAACTGATGTGCACAGTTAGTGTGTTATCTTAGGTGTAAGATAGCCAATCACAACAGTGCACATGCATTCTGTAGTCATACACCATTGTTAACTGGAAGTGCTTGCTTTGTATTAGAATTCTATATATATTATTCCTGGTGAAAATATATTATTCTTTGAGTTAAAAAATATTATTCCTCCAAAATGCCAACATTTTGACCATGAAGGGAAGGAAGAGCTATTATATTTTTCAAAATATAATTTTAACACAATGTATCTTAAAGAGTGTTTAAAATGGTTTTAAATATCACAACTTATTTCTGCAAAGTTCCAAATTGATAGTGACTACCAAGAAGTGGAGAGATAATCATAATAAAACCTGGATAAGAATTGCATGTTACAAAATCCAGGCATTTTTCCTAATATAATATCTTAGGTTCCCAAAAGCAGTACTACTGTTTCTCACTGTTTTAAAATCATTTTTCAGAAGTTCACATACAAATTCAATGTTTAACATTGCTCTTACTATTTTGTGTATTACTGTTCTTAGCATTATAGAATTCTATAATATAAAGAAAGCACTTCTTTTTTCTAGGCTTCATATTGGTAGCCCTTCAATTTGCTCCAGTTTCTCCCAACATACTTTAAAAATATTAACATTTTCTATGTGTGCTGTGAGCTCTGCTCTAAAAATGTCCCTGTTCTTTAGCCCAAGGATAGACTGAGGCTCACACTTGTATTTCCCTGAACTACTGGAAGTCTCTGAGTGATTCCACCCCTTCTAGATGGGCATCATATGCCTATAATCTATCAAACAGAGCCCTTCTTACCCATAGTCCCTAATCCCGGGGAACCAGGATTTAAAGATTTCCTCAGCCAATGCCTGTCACTTTTCCAGCTTCTTTCTTCCCACCAAACCCCAGAAGCACATTAACATGGTTTCCCAGGGCCTTCACTCAAACTAGTACCTTTAATCTCATTCAGGTTCACACTTCAGCCAAAATAAAAATCTTATGAGGAAGCATTTCAAAACATAGTTCGTGAAAATAACTGTTCATGGGAACTACTACTTGGAATTCTTATGACGGTAATTTCATTTGTTACAGAATATCCTGCCTCTCTGAGCACATACAACGATAAATCAGTTACTTTTACTTTGGTGGATAAAAGTTATGTGATCAATGTTGGAGACAAGGGGAAGAAACAAAAGAAAGGTAGACTATTTCTTTTGTCTATAATGATGTAATGATGACAAGTAAAAATAAATAAATAGTTAAATAAATAAATCAATGCCAAGCCATAAATAAGACAATAACTCAGACACAGCAAATGGATTTTCATGCTCTGTGCTAACTCGAAGGCACTGGCAATGGACACCTGAACATCACTATGTTGAGAAGGCTTCATAAGCTTAATCATGGCTCATGAGGGAAGAACACTGATCCTGAGAAGTGGCATCTCTTGTGAAATATAAAAGGAGGGACCATATATTTGCTATCACTTAAATTATTCACTATATCTTTCCGGTCTTATCAATGCATAACCTTTGTAGAAGAATATGCCAGGGATAGCAGCAGCATTTTAAATGTTTTAGTAATAGTTTCGTTGCAGAAGTCATCAGAGCATACTCATATCTTAACACCTTTCTCAAGATCATAAAAGTTTTGCTTTTATTGATATGTAATAAAAGGGAAGACAGTCTGTTGTTTGATACTTATCTCCTAGAACTGAAACTTTTTGAAAAAATTGCTTCTCATCCAAATGATCTGATGCGTTCTCTTTCAGACAAGGTGTTACTGCGTTACTATGAGTCCCCGTACTCCTCAAGTGAATCAGGTAATTTGGAGGCTGGGTAGCTACGGGGCTCGAATTCTTAAGTTGATGTAAATATGAATGAAAATGCTCCATGAGGAAAGAAGGCAGTCTCAAAATGACCCCTCCAATTCAGGCTCGTGGTAAAATCTTAAATTCTTAGAAGATATTACTCAATCCCATCAATTTTATAGTTTAACAGGACAAAGGTTTACTTATATGTAATAAAGATCCTAAATAATGGTGGCTTAAACTAGATGAAACTTGATTTCTGTCTTAGCCATGGCTGGAGTGGCAGTTCTGCTGACAAGTTGTGTAGGGATCTAGGTCTTTTTGTCTTGTAATTTTGCCAACATCTGTATGAATCAAGATGACCTGCCACCATGACAATGTCCAGTCAGCAGGACGAAGGCAGGTGTGTGTGTGTGTGTGTGTGTGTGTGTATACACTTTTCCCTTTAAAACACAGCCTGAAAATTGTATATGATATTTCCACTTCACATTGGTCAGAGCTTAGTCCTAATATTATACTCAGTCACAAGATGGCAGGATGGGAAATGTTCTATTATTGCATGAGAAGGGGAGGTGGATATGGGCCATGGGGGCAACAACTATTAATGGCTTTCCACAAAGAAACCAAAGCTGATGTCCAGAAAGTGTCTTAAAGAATCACAATTCTCTATTTAAAAAGCATCTCTAGGGGCCAGCAATGTGGCATAGTGGGTTAAGACACTCCCTGTGATGTCAGCATCCATGGGTGCTGGTTCAAGTCCCAGCTGCTCCATTTCCTATCCTGTTCCCTACTAATATACCTCAAAAAGCAGTTGAAAATTGCTCCAATGCTTGGGACCATACCATCCATGTGGTAGGCCTGTATGAAGGTCCTAGCTCCTGCCTTTGGCCTGGCCCAGCCTTGGCTATTGAGGCCATCTGGGGTGTGAATCAGCATATGGAAGAGCTCTCTCTCTATGTCTCTCCTTCTCTCTCTGTGACACTGTCTTACAAATAAATAAATAATTTTTTTAAAAAAAAGAAAGCTTATTTTAAAAAAACTAACTTCTCTCATTCAAGGGATTTAGAAGTACCCACTACTTATCTAATAATGTCTCCTTAATTTCATTTGGGTGCAAATATTTCTGAGATTTCTTGATGAATGAAGTGGTTTTCACATGACATCTTAAATTCATTTTCTGGGTGTTAAATTCATTTAAATTAAGAGGAGTTACAAGTCTTACTTTTATAATTTGCAGATAAAATAATATCTACCATGTACAAGTAGATTTTTTAAGTATATATTATGGAATCATTAAATCTAGCTAATTAGCAAATGCATTACCTCACATAGTTTTTATTTTAATTGTAAGGTGATGGCGTTGATGGTAAGATGTTAATGGTAAACATGAGTCCAACAAATGACGCACATCTCTTGCTGCATGCCAACAAGAAGAAGCACTCCGTAGAGGTAACAGAAACATGATTATGTAACTGCCTTGAATGACTTCATTCATTTGTGTAGATTTCAGTGTTCGGGGACTTTTTTTCTGTTTGGTATTGTACATAAAACATAAGCAGTTACTACTAAGGACTTGCTTCTGAAGGAGGGAAAGGAGGAAAGTATAATATATAGTCTTGCTACTAAAACTCTGATTTCCTTCACCAGCACAGAATCCCTGAGAGCTTGTTAGAAATGTAGAATTATGGCTCCCCAATGACTGAATCAGAATTAGCATTTTAACAGATGTCCAGGAGATTCATATGCACATTAAAGTTTGATAAACACTGCTGTGTAGAATGATCTGAAATCCTTTCTATTTAGCTTTAGGAACTACTATGTTCTTCCAGGAAGCGTTTCTTCATGAAATACAATTTCCTTAGGCAAATACAAAAATAATTTTAGATTCCAAGTCTGAAAAAAAGGAGGGCCATAAACATTTCTACATCCAAGAATTTGGCTAGCCAACAATCTACATTCTGATCACAATATTCACTGTACATTCTTAGTAATTGGCAGCATTATACTGGTCATAAGGACAAATTATAAATATCTTAAAGAACAAACAAGCCAAAAGTAGATGCAAGGAAGAAAACACAACAGCATAATATAGATGATAAATTATATAAATAAGTGGGCCAGTGCTGTGGTGTAGTGGGTAAAGCCACCATCCGCAGTGTCGGCGTCCCCTATGGGTGCCAGTTTGAGTCCCAGCTGCTCCACATCCAAACCAGCTCTCTGCTATGGCCTAGGAAAGCAGAAGAAGATGGCCCAAGTCCTTGGGCCCCTACACCCACATGGGAGACCCAAAAGAAGCTCCTGGCTCCTGGCTTCAGATTGGCTCAGTTCCGGCCATTGCAGCCACTTGTGGAGTGAACCAGCAGATTGAAAATATCTCTCTCTTCCTCTGCCTCTCTGTAACTCTGCCTTTCAAATAAGTAAATATATCTTTTTTTAAAAAAGTATATAAACAAAATTATAAAGCTAACTAATATCGCTGTGTAAGGCATTGTTAACATATATAGTGGATGGTTACCAGAATTTTCATTAACATACTATTCCTAAGTGTACATAACAGAATGTCTGGTATATGTAACTACTGAATAATAAGAGCTAATATTGAGCTCTATTTATTGCATATAAGGTGCATGCTAAATGTTTTCCAATGAGTATCTCATTAATTCTCACGGTAACTCCTTGATGGAGTTATATTGGAGAGCTATTGCTGCATAATAAACCATCCTCAAAACATAGTGCTTTAAAATAATGATCAGTCATATTACTCATATATATATATATATATAGAGAGAGAGAGAGAGTAAGCTGAAAATTGATTGAATTAGAAAAACTGGATAGACTAAAAAGTGAAGACTTGAGAGTTAAAGCAACATGCTCACGTTCTCAGAGAGAGTATGCAACAAAAGAGAACAAATCCAGGATTGCTAAAAACAGACCCAGTCATTTGAAGCCATACTACCCTTCTAAGTATACTATCAGTGAATCAAATCAAATCCTGCCCTCTACCCTTTGCCTTTGAATCATTTCTTCTTCCCTCCCCTCCTTTACTCAGTAAGCAGACCTGCTAGAAATACCATAAACAATTATTCCCAATTATAGGATCTGAACAGGAAGGGGGAGTTGACTCTGGATTCCCACTTACATACTGATGGCTGTTTCTTCAGTTTCACAGGTATGAAAACAGATTATCAGACCTAGCTTTCTTTGTCGTTCACAAGGAGTCTTCGGAATGTGTTTCATTCGAATGTAAAAGCCATCGCGGAACATATTTAGGAGTAAAAGATAATCACCTTGGCCTAATACAAGGAAAGAATCCAGGCAGTGAGAATATTCTGTTTAAGCTCTCTTAGACGTAATGTAATAGAAAACTGGATCCTAGCTTCAGTAGCCTACATACTACCACTGGAGGAGGAGTAAGAGATAAAGAAACACACAATATCTAAGAAGAATGAAGAGTACTTCGAATGATGTGGAATGGTTTCTTTATTATGTGTGGAATTTTTTCTAATCCTTTAGTTCTGTGTTTATATCCCTGTGTATCACTATATATTCAATACAAGTATGATAGTATTAAATAGGGTATTGAGGGGTGGGTGTTAGGAAACAGCAGTTACGTTGACACTTGCAATACCCACATCCCATATCAGAATCCCTGGGTTTGAGTCTCAGCTCTGCTTCTGATCCAGCTTTCTGCTAATTCACACCCTGAGAGGCAGCAGGTAATAGCTCAATTACTTTGGTGTCCGCCACCCACATGGGACACATGGATTGAGTTTCAGTCTCCTGCCTTCAGCTGGGCCCAGCCCTGGCTGTTGCATGCATTTGTGGAGTGAAACATTAAATGGAAGATACCTCTCTCTCTTCCTCTTCCTATTCCTACATCTCTTCCTTCTCCTCCTCCTTTTCTCCTCCTCTTCTCTGCCTCCTCCTCCTTGTTCTTTTCTCTCTCTTTCTCTGTCTTACTTTCTCTTTTCAAGTAAATAGTATATTGATAAAGAAATTTGCCAAAGAGATATAGATTGACCTTTATTTTTTTTCTACCTTGAGTCCATGAAGAATTTTACATTTAGAGCTGACACCTCCAGGAAAAAGCAAGGTTCATAGCTGAAGTCTCTCTTTATATAGGGGTCCATTTTAAAGAGCTATATAAGGATATCACTGTCCTTGGTTCCAAACAATAGATTCAAACACTAAAGCTGCTACTAAAAAGATTATATGCAGCACAGCTTGACCATTTCTCAACTAGAATAAGACACTAAGTTAGTTTATAGATGTTCTAAGTAACACTCCGATTAACAGTTTCTAGCTTTCAAGGATTTGCAGAACTTCAAATGTCTACATGTCTAGGTAGGTATTATAAATGTATGAAAAAGTAAGGATAATTGAAAAATTATGAAAAATAAATCCAGCTTTATAAAGTGATAATTTTACCTCTTATTGTTTCAGTTTAGATCATGATTTTATACACTGAGTTAACTTTAAGCAAACCATTCTTAGAATAGGAAGTGAAATAAACTTTAATTCACAAATATCATTGAAACTATTAGAATAGCTAACATATAAAAACTTTTTATAAAGAGTACTGAACCACAACACATATTAGGGCATACAAGCAGCAAGGGATCAAAGTAAAATGGTGAGGCCAGAAGTCCCCTAACCTACTACAGCTCAGATGAGATACATAATTAATACTAATGTTTCAATAATTGGATATCCCTCATGTTTGTAGAATATCATGTCCCTGTGATGCTGGTTTCCAGGGATCTATGACTTTATATTCATCATTCCAATCAAAATTTGTTCTAATCCTTGTACAACACATCTCTTATTTTTAAAAATGTATTTTATGGGGGCTGGCATTGTGGCATAGTGGGTTAAGCCACCACCTGCGATGCCAGCATTCCATATGAGCACTGTTTCAAGTCCCAGCTGCTCTACTTCAACCCAGCTTCTTTCTAATGAGCCTGGGAAAACAGTGGAATATAGTTCAAGTACATGGGCCCTTGTTTCCCACATGGGAGACCTGAATGGAGTTCCAGGTTCCTGGCTTCCAGTTAGCCCAGCCTAAGTCCACAACAGTCCCAGGCCAGGCCAGAGGCTAAAAAGCAAGGAACCAGGAACCTAATCCAGGTCTCCCATGTGAATCAGGTGGATGGCAGGAACCCAACCACTTGAGCCGTCACTGCTGCCTTCCAGGATCTGAGCCAGAGCCAGGACTTGAAACAAGGTACACTGGGACCGGCACTGTGGCATAGCAAGTAAAACCACCACCTGGAGTGCCAGCATCCCATATGGGCGCTGTTTAGAGTCCTGGCTGCTCTGTTTCCAATTCAGCTCTCTGCTATAACCTGGGAAAGCAATGGGAAAAAGCCTGGGAAAACAATGGATGATGGCCCAGGTCCTTGGGCCCCTTCACCTGCATGGGAGATCCAGAAGAAACTCCTGGTTCCTGGGTTTGGATCGGCTCAGCTCCAGCCGTTGCGACCATTTGGAGAGTGAAGAGCAGATGGAAGACTTTCTCTCTCTCTCTCTTTCTCTCTTTCTCTGCTTCTACCTCTCTCTAACTCTGACTTTCAAGTAAATAGATAAAATCTAAGAAAAGAAATGAAATGAAATGAAACGAAATGAAAAGAAAAGAAAACGAGGTACTCTGATATGGGATGCTGGCACCTTCACTCATGTGTTAACTGTTACAACAAACGCTTGCCTCATACAGATCTTTTGTTCCCAGCTTCTTGGTGACTCTGCTCACTGTAGAATATTCATTTAACTTCTGTCCCTTCTTCAGTTCTTTTGACCAACTTTCTCCTTAATATGTATTTTGTATCTACTGAGCTTCATTTTCATTTAGTCAGACCTCTAGAGGGCCAATAACCAGGTTCTGCTTTGTCTACATAACATTGTTAATGTTACATAAACTACCGATGGCAATAGTTTTCAGTAAATATCTTTGTGTTTTACTCTTACTAAGGTAGCAAAATCTATACTCAACCATATCATAGCTTTTCAACTACTAAAGGAATAATTTTTGCTTAGGTAAAACTTTATTTTAAAGCAATTTCTATAATAATTTTAATAGACAACATTTAACTGACAAATGTAATAACAAGAAACTGAGGAAACAGGATATTTTCTGAAAGTATAGGTTTTCAAATTCCTAACTGGTTGTGACTTATTGCATATATTTGTTGCTGGTCTCTAAGATAAAAGTGCTTAGAATTATTATACAAGATTGCACAATTATATAAAACTACTTTGCCAACAACTTTACTATAAAGACATAAATAAAGGAGAACCTGTATTATCTCCTCTGAAAAACACTAAATATTGATTATGCCTCTGCACTGTATATTAAAATGATTATTATTAAGTAACTAAATATATTCATTATATTTTTATATTCTTGAATAAAAAGTATTTTTCAAAATTATGTGTGGCCATAATTTTTATCATAAAATCACTCAATATTCTGAAATCCTTAAGTGAAAATAAGCATACTTCAATCTATCAATGTTGGTATCTAGAGTATATTAGTTTTCTGATATTTTGGTGATTCAAAACTAAGTACAATTATCCAGAGAAGGTACAGTATCATTTCTTTGGTTGGTTGGTTTTTATATTTTGGTGTTCATTCCCCTGGTGCCCATAATGGTGGCTGGCATAAAGAAAGTTTTAGTGATTTTACCCAACATCAGCCAGCCAACATCTGCCCACATCAGAATTTAACTTGAGACTTCTGAGTCATTTAGACATATTTCAACTCAACTATCTTACTGTGTTTAATTTTCCTTTTTTTAAAAAAAATATTTTCCATCATCATTCTACTAAGTGTTACTTGATTTAAATGCTTAAGTGTATAGTGGCATTTTGCCACTTCCTTGCATGTGTTTGATAATCCATTACATACATTATTGGAAGAAATTTGTCACTGGTCACATCGTAGTCACCTTAATTTCTTTGAGCACATTGTAAGAGGTTCACACAACAAAATTGTTGAAAGACATGTTTCTCAGAACACATTACCAACATTAAGCAATACATTACCAGATTTAGCATTTAGACCTGCTCTTGGGAACAGTATTGTGGCATAGCAGGTAAAGCTGCCACTGGCAATGCCAACATCCCATATGGGCACCAGTTCAAGTGGCCACTCCACTTCTGACCCAGCTCCCTGCTAATTTGTCTGGGAAAGCAGCACAGGATGACACAGTGCTTGGGCCCCTGTATGCATGTGGAAACCTAGAAGAAGCTCCTGGCTCCTGGCTTTGACTTGTTCCAGAACTGGCCATTGCAGCCATATAGGGAGTGAACCAATGAAGAAGATCTCTCCTCTCCTCCCCTCTCTTCCCCTCCCCTCCCCTCCTCTCTCCTCCTCTCCTCTCCCCTCCCCTCCTCTCTCCTCCTCTTCCCTCCTCTCCCCTCCCTTCCCCTCCCCCTCTCTCTTTCTCTTTCTCTCCCAAACTCTGCCCTTCAAATAAATAAATAAATAAATAAATAAATCTTTTTAAAAAAAAATACATGATCTTTTTCCCACTGTTGATTTTCCAAAAAGTTGACTTTCAGTTCAAAGTTAGCATCCTAATAACAATGGTCTCCAACTGGAGCATATTAGTGGTCATTTAAACTTTTCAAACAGGTAATTTTCATATAAGTATATGTGAAATTTTGTGCTGAAGAGTTAAAATTGTATATGTGCGGGTGTAAAAAGTTAAGCTTAAGCTTGATCTTCTGTATATTAAGATAATCGAAAATGAATCTTGATGTGAATGGAAGGGGAGAGGGAGTGGGAAAGGGGAGGGTTGCGGGTGGGAGGGACGGTATGGGGGGGAAGCCATTGTAATCCATAAGTCGTACTTTGGAAATTTATATTCATTAAATAAAAGTTAAAAAAAAAAAGTTAAGCTTAAGCTTACAGGTTTAAACCTTCCTGGTGCAGCTGTGAAAATAAAACAGAGTGAAGTAGCACCTTGACAGTAGGGACTCCATTTTGGAGCACTTGAGACTCCATTCTGGGAAAGCACCCCCCCCCCCTCCACCGTGAGACTCTGGTCTGAAACTATGATCTCAAACAGTCGGACAATAGCAGTGCACTACATCACCCTTGGCAACGCACAAAAACCCCCTAGCATGATTGCTCAAGTTTAAAAGTAAAAAGGTTGCACCTGGGTTACCTGAGCTAATAATGAAGATGTGATCTGTCTATGTCTTAAGATCATAATTGCTGATTGTAAGATATTAGCAACCGCTTAGCAACCGTGTATTCTCTCCCCCCTCCCGATTTTGCGGGTTTTGCCTTTATAAACCCTATGCTGTAGTTCCTCGGGGCTCCTCTGTCCTTGTATGTTCAGAGGGCCACAACATGTTGGATCAATAAATTTAACCCTTTGCTGGTTGCATGAGAGAAAAAGTCTCTTGGAGTCGTTCCTCGGGCAGTGGGCTTTTTCGGACCCTAACAGTGCAAATAACAAGGGAAAACAGTGGGCTAAATACACCATTCTAAACCATAGGTAAGTAAATCTAGCTTCTATATATTTACATATTACAAAGCAATCTGGCTACATAAAACTGTGTTCTTCAAATTTTTTCAAATTCCCATGCTATTACTGATGTCCCAGGAATATCACTTGTGCTTTAGGGAACTATATTCACAGAGACACTTGTGAAGAAAGGTACTGGAGGACAGAGTGGGGAAGGGAGGGAGGCAAGGGAATCTTGAATTGTTTCACTTCTTACATCTGGCATTTCTGCAGCTCTTCATGTCTCTTTGGATGTGCAGTGGCCACAACACATGGTATGTGGCCTCTGAGGTCATACATTGGTTTCCAGGATCCACCCAAAATGCCTCCTTGACCACAGTAGACAGATCGTCTCATCAGGGAAGGATGTACTCTTTGTGGGTCAGTTGACAATTCTAAGACCATTATCCCAGAAACAGATGTTGAACACCTTTTCTCCCCAGTGAAATACCTTTAGGATCATACCTATATCCTCAACCCTAATGTAAGCCACCACCCCTCAGATTTAATTTATTATAATAAGTTTGTTAATAAGCATTTAGCAAATGTCAACTTGTGAAAATCCCACTTCCAGTCCCTGAAAAGGGTGGAAGGAGAAGGAAGAGGAGAGAAAAGCCATTCTCCTAGCAGCTATAACAATAATCTATAAGATATGGGACATATAAATAACACAGGACAAGACCCACAAAGTTAAGAAAATAGGACCACAATAAACACCATTGGGATGTGACAGAGCTGGAGACTGATCAGGTTAGACAAAACAGGACTTTGAGGCCTTTTTTAAAAAATCTGAATGAACACAAAAGAAAGAGTAAAGAATTTCAGCTGAGAGGAACCTGAAAAGCAAAAGAGGCAGAGGAATGGGCAGTTAGCCTAGGAATTAACACACAGGCATCCCACACTGGAGTGCCTGGGTTCAATTCCCAGCTCCAACTCCTTACTCCAGCTTCTGAGGTGTTAGTAATCTACAATGGAGGCCGGCGCCGTGGCTCACTAGGCTAATCCTCCGCCTTGCGGCACCAGCACACCGGGTTCTAGTCCCAGTCAGGGCGCCGGATTCTGTCCCGGTTGCCCCTCTTCCAGGCCAGCTCTCTGCTGTGGCCAGGGAGTGCAGTGGAGGATGGCCCAAGTGCTTGGACCCTGCACCCCATGGGAGATCAGGAGAAGCACCTGGCTCCTGCCATCGGATCAGCGCGGTGCGCTGGCCGCGGCGGCCATTGGAGGGTGAACCAACGGCAAAGGAAGACCTTTCTCCCTGTCTCTCTCTCTCTCACTGTCCACTCTGCCTGTCAAAAAAAAAATCTACAATGGGACTCTCTTGTGAAAATGTGGTGTTGATGAAAGGCTACAGACAAGAAATAAGTTTCAGGGACAGTGGCCAGAAAGGTCAGTTGTAAAGCATGAGATGATGACTACTACAGAGGATTCAGGAAGGAAAGGAAGAGCACCATGATCCATTTTTGTAGGGCTCCAGCATTGTGGTATTAAGGTAGCAATGACAGATTTTAAAGACCACGTGGACAAACATGGCTATCTTCTGTTCAAAATCTACTGCTTTGCTTAAGGAGCAGAGGCAGAGGAACACTCACAGGACAGTGTGGTGGTAAAGAGGCACACAGAGGAGCATCTGTACCATGTGCAAGGGCAAAAAGTTCTATTTTGTGCTATTTTTTAATTTAAAAAATATTTATTTGAGAAAGAGATAGAAATAGAGCTCACATTTGCTTATTCACTCCCTGAATGCCTGAAATGACTAGTGGCGGGCCAAGGCAAAAGCCAGGAGGTAGGAACTCAATGCAGATCTTCCACAGAGATGGCAGGAACCCAATTACTTGTGCATCACCATAAGTCTCCCTGGGTCTGCATTTACAACAAGGAGGAGCTAGAGCTGGAGGTGGGTATCAAACCCAGACATTACAACACAGAACTCAGACATCTTAACCAGTGCCCTAATCGCTAGGCCAAATGTCTGATCCAGCTTTGTGCTATCTTTAATGAACCAGTTCAGGTTTCTACATGCTTAATCATGACTTTTATCACATCCAAGACAGCCCCCAACTCCCAGCCATGTACAGAACATGGAGACAGTGATTTTCCTGGCTGAGGCTCACACAGAGACTCATTCTGCCACTTTGGTCTGTTTGGTTCTTGGCCTCTTAGACTACATCAATCACTAAGATTGGCTCCCTAATCAGAGAAACCTACCCACCAAACAACCTACAGCAAAGACCCAGGTAAACAGTTCTTACTAAGGGTAACTTTCAGTTCCTTCTCCTTGCTCTGCATAACTCCACAAGAGTCCTCCAAATTCCTTTTCAGTAAGTCTAAAAGGCAAGTAAAAATCTCTGTCCTTCCTCACACTTTGAACAAGATCAGATTGTTCAAAAGGGAACTTACAGTTATTTCATAAAAGTCTCATTCCTATAAGGAGGATCTTACCTTTAATAGGGAGATTCAAAAGTTTTATCTTAAAAAAACCCTATTATGCCAATTCAAATTTTGATTTTTAGTTAGGAAAAGAATATTGAATAATCTGTTATATAATCTTTCAAAAAATGAATGTCTGATTAAAGAAAGGTCACTAGACTCATGAATGACAATCATGGGCACAGTAAGCAACTACTTTCCCAGGAAAGTCTTCAACAGAGAGAAAAAATAAAAAGCTTATAAGAAAATCAACCCTGTGTATACACGTGTGATAGAGTGGATCAAGCTGCTGCTACCTTAGATGCCTGCATCCAATATTAGAGTTCTGGTTCATCTCCTGGCTACCCTGCTTCCAATCCAGCTTCCTGCTAATGTGCCTGAAAAGGCAACTGATGATGGTCCAAGTATTTGGGTCCCTTCCACCCATGTGGGACACCTGGATGGAGTTCCTGGATCCAGGCTTCAGCATGGCCCAGCACTGGCTCTT